TGCATTGTGGGTAATGTGGACTCTGGTTATAGTAGTCAATGAGTGCTAATTTAGTGTTGCTCTTTTTGTTTTTCCTCATCATAGGTGCTTTGTTGACGCTCAGCTTCCAGGCTCAAGGTCTCAATTCTTAGCCAGGACACAGGATGACAAGCTCCACATGTCCATTGATGCCTTCAGATTTTATAATGAGGACAGAGGGGAGGTGAGGCTCTATTAAATTACCTTAAACATGATTGTGTGTGTGCATGTTGGTCACTGGTCACCATGGGAAAGCGTGCTTTCTCCTCCCTGGGTCCACGTCTGTGGAATCAGCTTCCAGAGAACATACGGACCTCGGCTTCACTCTCAGTTTTTAGGAAATGCCTCAAGACCCACCTGTTCCGCACCGCATTTTACTGAACGTCCTTTATTTTAATTTTTTAAAACCTTTTATGCTCTTAACCTTTGATTTTTGATATTACCATATTTTATTCAATATGCTCCTTTTAGATATATTTTTATTTGATTTATTTTATTATTTTATCCTTATAGCTTTGTGAAGCACCTTGAGATGACATTGTCTTTAAAGTGTGCTATATAAATCAAATGTATTATTATTATTATTATTATTATTATTATAAGGTGGCGGGTATTACCTTGGTTGGTGATTGGCTGATGGCTTCATAAGCCAAAAAATCGTTATGACTTCATAAAGTGGCCCAAATCTGATCAACTCATTTTCAGACAGGTTTTCATATAAATGGCTCAGGACAAAAAGAGAGAGAATCTTTTTTTCTTAAACTGTCAGAGTCTCTGAAAACAGATGGGACACATATTTGTGTATAAAAGACATGAAAAAGTGCATAACAGGTGACCTTTAATAAACCGTAAACTCAAAGAAATGGTTGAAGTTCCTGTGGTTAATGTGGCTCAAAATATACATCTCGAAGTAGCCCTGCCGTGTTTTAAAATAAACATCAAGTTAAATTGAAGAAGACTTAAAACTAAGACCATAAAACGGATAAAATTAGAAGATGAATATCAGTCTTATCTATTGCTACCGAAAAATCCTCAAGAAGATAACTATTGATAGCAAATATAGTTTGTGCTATAAGCTATATGTATAGGCGTATGTTTGCCACAAACAAAATACTGTATAATAAAAGTCATGTTAGACATAATACAAAATACCTCTTCTCAAACAGAGCGACATATTGACTGCTTCACAACATGCAGTATGTGTTTCCTATAGATTTGTATAGGGGCATCTGCACTTGCTCAGATAATGAATAGGTTCAAACAGAATAAAAGAAACAATCTGAAAACACCAAGGTCGTCTTTTCTCTGACTCTGCACTGTGCGGCAGCAAGGTCGCTGTGTACTGATCGGAAGGAAAAGGACTGGAGCTTCTCACGGCGTTCAGTCCCAGTGCTCCTTCCGCTTTGTCCCTCATTGAGATGAGATAGTCGGATGTATTGCATGAGTCACTGGCCCATAAATGTGTGAAATAGAAATGCTTTAAATGAAAGGGGATGAAAAGTGTCATGGCAACATTTTGTAAAGAAATGCAGGCGCTGCCAGGAGGGTGACAAGAGAGGAAAATGCATCCAAATAACTGAGAATAAAGTTATAGGAGACAAACAAGACATTTAAAACATTCAGATCCAATAACTGCAGATTTCCTTTGTATGCAGTCACAATGCATGGCTGACACTTACCTCCCAAAAATCAAATAAAGTTTAGGACAATATAAAGTCTCCTGTCTTGATCCAGGTGATTAATATTATTCAACCACACACTTGAGGCGATTGAGTCAATATCCAATAAGATGAAGTATAAACAGCACATCATTCAGAGAGAAGTCCAGACTACCTAAGGAACTGTTTTCGCAGTGTTTCTCTCTCATCTCATGATTGGATAATCCATACTAATCTTTAGGGAAAGCACCCGCTGTAGGCATACAAAAATACACGCTTTGATGATATGACTTCATAAGTCCAGACGAGAAAGTGTGAAGCAATTAGCCTGAAGCGTGTGCATGTATGTACTGAACATCTGCAAATCATCCTGCGTGCTGCCCTTGTTACCTTGTCAATCTTTCCACCTCATCCCCTATAGCGCTATACATCCAAAGGCCGGGAGTCTCTGAATAAGACAGATATTATAAGTCCACTCATGCAGGTGTAGATTTGTTTGCTGGAAGAAAAAACATAAAACACATCTTAAAGCTGTTGTCCTCGAAGGAATTCTCCCTCACATGTTGCGTGAGGATATACAGAGAGACATTTAAGATATGTTTGACGGGGGAGTCATTGAGCGAGTGGCTGGAGGAGCAGTAACAAAGGTCAGAGGACAAGTTTACATGAGTGTATGACCAACTGTGACATGTGCAGATGAGTGCGCACGTTAATGTGCATGTTTTATGTGTCTTACATTTTCTCATGGTAAAGTAAAATGTATGCAGTACAGTAGTTCTTCCAACTGAGAGGAATACAGCTGACAGTTTATACAATCATGAATATATTGTTTGCTAGGAAAGACCTTATTAGATAAAGCGCTATATTGCACAAAAGTCAATATCATGGAGATTTGTAATAAAAGCAAGCCCGCAGGCTGTGATCAACTTGTGCAAAAAGCAGGGATGAATACAAAATACAAAACTTCAAAACTGGTTTCAGCTCGCTAATTTCTCTATTGAACTTGAGGAGGAAATCACTGAGGGGAGGCAGCTATTAAAGATTTTCGCCTTTGCCCAGCCTGATTAGACAGTAATGACTTCTCACCTTCCTCAAATTACTGCAACCTTTCTTAAGGCCCGGACAGACCAATCTGACAACAAAGAACTGACACAGACAGACCCCGACTGTTGCGTCGCCTCGCGTCTCTGCGTTTTGGCCATGTGTCGCACTGGAACACATCGCAAAGACTTCAGCCGACGGCCAAGAAGCACGTACGAACTGCTCTGAATAACTCTCCTTACCAGCAGGCGGCGGTAGTTTGTATTCGTCATTCAAAAGAGTCAACAACCGGAAGACAGACTGCATGATAACCTTCTCATGCACTGATTCGCTAGCTGAATAGCCAATCAGTGATTTCTTTTGCCGACTGCCTTTGCCCGCCGATTTTCGGCCGAAAAGGCGTCGGCCCGGCTGAAAAGACCCGACGGTGCGGGACACACCAGTCTGAGTAGGGCGTGTCGACGCTCATCGTCGGCCTTACGGCCCGTCCACACAGCGGCATGCGTTGAAGTTTCAACGTTTCTGCCTATTCACTTTGAATGGGTTGACGTCACGCTTCACCGAACTGCATTGTGGGAGCAAAGCGTAGCTTTTCTCGCGGTGCACGCTGCAAAAGTTGAGCAATGTTTATCTTTTGAAGCTTCGACGGAAGCGTCAGCCAATCAAATCATATTCCAGTACAAGCTCTAGCCAATCAAACCGCTGCTTGTGTGTCCGGGGCGGGAGATTCAGGGGATTGATTGTTGGTCGAGCTTCAGACATGCCCGCCGGCAAGCGACAACGCACACCGCTGTGTGGACGGGCCGTGACGCCCACCGACGGCGATAATCGGCCTGGTGTGTCCGTGCCTTTAGTCCCACTCTTGGATTCAAATCTTTATCTATCAGCATACGCGTGGTGCAAAAACACTACATAGGAACCAGGTTTAGAAACTGTTGACATGGGATCAGTTTTCTACTACTAAACTGTTCCCAATGAAAAGGGGTCACAAGAACACCTGAGATGTCAGTATATAAAAACAATACATTTCATTTTTTTTGTTTTCCCAAGAGAAGAAAATCTGTTTTGGTCGTATCTGTAAAAACAAATCTTTTAAATGATACCCTCTTCGTAGATGTTTACTGACATTTAGAGAGTAAGCGTGTGGTAGGAGAGGCGCTGTCGACTTCTCAAGTGCACGACCAAGCAGAGCCTGTTATACTTTATCCTATTAGGAGCCAATGAACAAAGAAGGCGGGCTTTGTATTACCTGTGAACTGTTATCAATTAAGCTGCCTGTCCCTGAGTAACATCATCATTGCGAAAGGACCCATTCGGAGAGTGCACATTAGTTAGCCTAGTTAGCATATTCAATGTTAATTTTGTGCTGAACCCTTCTGACTTGTTTTTCCAATAAATGAATCATTGGAAAGTTTTTGCCTTCAAGTCTTACAAAATATCTAATAAAAACTATCCGTACAACCTTTTTTTATTTTTTCAATAGAAATAAAATAAGAATTAATGTTAAAAGCTCGTTTAATGCCATGCACACATTATTTATTCATCACAGAAAGCCTCAGGCAGCAGTTTGAGGTGTCATTGCATGCTGTGTTTAAATGTAATTTAGTCCCGGTTGATATTATCAAACACGGTAAATGTGTTTGTATTTATTCAGTACTTGAACGTTTGTCGTACATCTTGAGATGACAAGCTTTTTCCTCAGCAATCTCTAAATCTGAGCTAAGGTATAAAGTTGTTAAATGTTTCCTTACAAAGGCAGCATGGCATTGACTTGCTTTCTTTTTCCCCTGCATGCATACAGCCTCAGGTGATTTGCAGCCAGCCACTCACAAAATTCTATTAACACTTCATTGATATGCAAAAAGGCTTGAAAGGGCATCTGAAAATCAGTTTTTGTATGATGTTGGTTTGCAGTCTTTATATAGTCATTGTTCAGAGTGCCCTGCTGAATAAGAACATTTCTTTATTGAATTTGTTTTATACAAACTGTGTCCTTGTGCTGGAAAAGCCTCTGAAACTGAAGCAGTCTGCACTCTTAGTTGATATATTGCACTCCTTGATATATTATTCCTCAGGCAACTTAAAGAGAACGTTGATTAAAACCTTAAACGTGTCCCTAATCGAACAAAGCTGTTGTAAACCTTTCAGCGGTGTGGAAATACTTCACCACATATAGGCAGTATGGCATCTTAAATGGCTTTAACAAGACAGGCTTCAATCATTATCTGGCACACTTGTTTTATCTGGAGATTGAATGCCGGCCTTCATGTGTATGCATTGAGATAACAAGGGATTCAGAGGATTTTACCGGATCTAATCAGTGGGTGACATGTGATGAGAGGAATATTGTTTTATGGAAATACGATGTTAATTGACAGGCAGCAGTGTAACACGTACCAAACAAGGTCCTCATTATGTAAAACCTGATTGATAAACATAAACAAAATGTTACTTGACATTAGAGGCAATGTTTTTTTCCTAATCA